TTCAGAAAATATGTGTATGAACTAAAGTCTACCCAGAGAAGAACAAGGCAAGGGGGTTTTCCACTCACATATCCAGGGCAGTCAAAGAATCGAGGGGCTGCAAGGAGCTTTAGCGCACTGTGAATACACGTGTGCCATGTACCGGCAGCTCTGATAAGGAACCAGAGATAAAGTAGCATGGACATTGGGGCAAGTCCACATTCCACAGTCAAAACAAACAAAAGACAAAACCATCGAGGCCTGGGGACGTTGGCTGACAACCGGCTACAATGAGACAATGTAAACGTGAGTGGCGATGACGTCACATCCTCTTGCTTCATGGATCACAGATGGGCCAGGCAAGGTGGGCCACTGGAGCTCAGCTTGAATGGAGGGAAGGGGCCCGCAGGAGGTTGGGCATTTTATTGCAGCGTTTTCTCTTGCTGAAAACACCTTTTTTCCTCCTCTTTGACAATGCATTTTATGAGGAAATGATTTAAGACTTGTATGTCATAGGTGGCTTGTAACTCTTAGGTTTAATAGAAACAAGTCTTCCTGGTTTCAGCAAGTAAAAGCACCAGGAATTAAAATTTTTTACCATCCCACCTGTTTGGATGTGACCAAAAAGCTCTACTATTCTAGATGCCTTCTCTGGAAGACACTGAGAAACTGCTTTTGGTTTAGTAACCACTGGTTTGGAAAACATGATGCTACAAAGATAACTTTTGTTGTTAATTTGCAAGCCTTAAAAAGATGGCAGAACGAAAAAGTGTCCCAACCACAACAGCTGACACTTGCATAGCACTTTATAAGTGGCTTGATTAACTTTATCTTATTTTATCCCAAATGCTGCCATTGGTTTACTATGTCCATATAAACTGTTAAAATGAATTCAGATAATTCAGTCCCAAACCCAATTTTTAAACATCCATTATATAAATATTAGAACACAAACTGGCTTGATAGTTATTTAAATTTCTCCTTTGGTGCTATGTGGAGAGTTACTGTCTGGTGACTGGGAGGTTGAAGACAGGTGCAAGGCCAGCCAAGCCAGTATAACCTTCCCGTCCATTCTTGGAGCATATATAATTAGAGTCCCTTGGTAAGTGAGATTGATGTCTTAGAATTAGCTGAATGCCCAGTAAATACTTGGGAAGCAGAGGAGGATGAAGTAAATATGAAGCCATAATTATCAGCAACGTTACGCTTGTCCATTTGAATGAATCTCCATGACAATGTTGTTATTACTGTTTCTATTATAACTGTATTGTACTTGTGCACTTAATGAAGAATTATATAAGCACATATAGAATGGTATTAATTGATAGGAGTATTTAGAAAATTAGGTCTTGTATTTTTAATTCTCCTTTTCAAACAGAAAAATTATAATTCATACAGAAGTTCAGTTCCTAATTTGCTTTGTTGGGGGCCAATATTGCTAGCCAAGACCAACACTGAACAGAAAAAAAATTCTTAAGAATGTATACCAAATTGTTAGTAGTACTTTTCTTGGGAGGTAGGACTTTGATTTTCTACTTTATAGATACTTCTGTATTGATGAAAAAATTGTTTTACAATGGGGATGTGTTATTTAACAAATGAAGTTTCACTTAGTGGCCACCTTTGATTAATTTAAAATTACTGAACTCAATTATTTTTCTTATTACCCTTTACATCTATAGAATCTGCAGAGAGCAAAGGGAAGGGCCTGGGCAGGAAGTCGAAGTCGGCAGACTCAGTGTGAACAGTGGCTGAGTAGGTGAATCTCTCTGAGCCTCAGTTCCTGCTCTGTACCTACAGGGTTAATCACGTCCATTCATTCGCTAGCTCTACTGTCAGGATTCCACCGCCCACGTGAAAGCTCCTTCGACTTGATCAAAATTGATTTCCTTCCTTCCTGCAGTGTTCTAACACCATTTAAACAGTGTAAATTATGCCTGAGATTTAAAAGGGGGCAAGTATTCGTACATACATTTGTTGCAGTTGCGATTCTACAAAAGTGCTCAGAAAAACACTTTTTCAGCTGAAAGGCACCTCTAGATAGGAAGTTTTTGTTGGAGAGAAAAAGATTCTGGAAGATTCTGTAAAAGTGCTTTAGGCACTTTTACAAACTATAGTTCTATTCCAAGAAGGCTCCAGGCAAGGAGGTTAGGGACAGGGTCGGCCCTGCCAAACCCACCAGCAATTCTGAGCCAATGGGGAAGCAAAGCCAGACCTTCTGGGGCCAGCAGTGGGGTGGGGGCTTCTGACTATCTAAAGTCACTCTGTATAGTATGAACCTGTTGTCATGAGGGGATAATAATCTGCATATCTTATCTTTCTCTGCATCTCAAACATGCAGTGAGGAAACAGAGAGCATTTAGTATATGCAAACAATATGTATACATATAGACCTATGGTACTTTTCAATCTGTTTGTTACCACCAAAGACTTGTGATATAACCACGGTCGGTACCAAGGCATAGTCAAATCAGATTCCACACTTGACTTCATTTACTCACCAAACTGGTTAGTCCTGCAGTGTCTCAGGGTTCGGACAGTGTCTGCAATCATGTGCTGGAAGGGAGAGCAGGAAACACATCAATGGAAGTGTCACTGAGGGTGTTGCTGACGTAGCAGTGCCTGCTAGGATGGGTGGGGAGTCTAACACCTTCGGGTGTAAATACCAGAGCTATATTTGGAGCTGGACATAACTTTAATTGATTCTACTGAGCTTGGATGACAAAAGAATATTTAGTCCTTGTCTGCAGAAGCAGTAGCACACAAACCAGTGGCACAGATCCCAACTGAGCCACGAGAAAGCACGGTGTGAAGCGGCGCAGCCCTCCCACCCACACTGGCTCGTGTCTTTTACTTCACGGCGAATGTCTTGCCATGAAGCCTTTCTGAGATGCCCCTTCTGGACTTGGAGGCTCCATCCTCCGCATTCCCACTGTTCTTTGTGCAGCGTCTACTGGCTTTGAGTTACTGTCATTGCTGTTGAACTGTTCTCCTCCTCTAGATCAGGTGCCACCAGAGGGGTCTGCGTACCCAGCACCTGCCGTGGCAGACACACAGAGGCTCACACGTGTGCTGAGTGGAGGGGGGAATTTTCGTGGACTCGCAGGCTCAAGTGTCTCGCATGGAGACAGGAAATGAGACACACACAAAAGATGGACATTTTCTAAAATGTCAACATCCTTATAGAGACCATTTTCTGTTCATAGTTTACATTCCTTTACAGTCTCTGGTATTCTAATTTAATTCTTTCCTTAAAGTTCTCACTGATCTCCAGGCAAAAGTCCTCTTAAATGTACAGCTGCTTAAATGTACCTACAATATACTTGTAGCTGTCTCTACCATTTTTAGTTATCCATGATGAAGGAAACAGCATTTTGGAAGAAACCATTCTCCACTCTAGTTCCTCCTATGTAGTTGCCAGAATAATCTCTAAATACTGTTGTCATCATGTTCTAGTCCTCTAGAGCACCTACAGTAACACCTTAATTTGTTTCCTATCAAAATCCAAACATAATTCTATCATTTCAGAATCAATATCATTCATCATCTGGTCCTCCAAACCTTCCCAACTGGGTCATCATTTTTCACATCACGCCTGCACACACTGAACATGGGATCACCCATCTACAGCAAACCCTCGATGAATTATTGCTTAAAGAAGAACGGTAACACTAAAAAAGTTTCTTACTTAAAATCCAAGAGAACTACAGAAACATTGACCTACTGATTACATTGTTCTCCCAACCGTATTTCTAATGTACTTCTATTCAATTGTGGAAAATGAAATAGGACAGTGATTACAGCAGTAGCTCAAGCTGCATTTGTAAAGGAAATGAGGCCTGACTCATGTCTGTGAAGGCATTGTTAAATTTCCTTCCCCAAATTTGACCACTATTCCCAGGACAGTTTTCTTGTTGTTTTAAGCTGTGGCGTCACACCGATTTCTATCATGTGCCATTTGCATAGCTCGGGCCAGGCTCAAACTGACGTAAGGCTCAGTACTGAGAGTGGCCTTGAAACCCGAGTCCTGATCCTCATCTTTAGGGTCTCTGAGGGGGGAGAGAGGAAGATATGGTAAGAGGCGATGCTCTTAACACAGAGGGATGTTTCTTCATTATTTAATACTTTGAGATGCAAACATTTCGAGTTGCTGGGGCAGCAAGGAACTTAGCATAGGGAATAACAGAAATGCTACTTAAGCCCAATGAGCACTTCTGGAACTTTACGTACGTGGTCTGACTTAACGTGTTGGCCTGTTCAGCCAGATAAAGATAACATGCTGAATTATCTGCTTGCTGGCTTAAGTTAATCTCCATCATGAGGAATTGGCTTCTCTCAAGTTAATTCACTTAGGTTCTCTTGGTTCATTACAGTGAAAGATGATCCTGTTTTAACTTAAGTGAAACCCTGTCCTCTGCTAAGGAACATTCCTTGAAACCAGTGTCTCTTCGAGTAAAGGTCAGTCTCATTTCCAGCATCCAAGTAGAATATAGGGCTCTGTATGATATAAAATTGATTTTTGTCCTTCTGAAAAAAACTTCTAACTTCACCCTATCTTCTCTATGTAAGGAGTCATCAGCAGGAGGCTCCAAGGGCCAGGAACTCGCTGAGCCCACGAAGCCTAAGCTCTCAGAAACCACGTGCAAGCACTGCCCGATGGTTGTGTGCGTGCTCTGGGTCTGGCGCGTGCATGAACAACTGCACCCATTTTCTCACTCTCTTTTTCATAAAAGCTTTCTTCGGGAATTTCAAACAGAGTATTATTTATGCCATGCTATTTCCTTAAGTTTTCTTAAAGAATTAAGGGTACAATTATTGACCCTAATAGAGGCAATATTGTTCAGACTTCGTTTCAGTCCCTATGGCTAGTTGAAGTCTTAGCATGTATAAAAGCTGGCATCGAAAGGCTTCTGTTGGATTGTTGAAGCAGGGGAGGACCACAGATGCTGGTCAGAAGGAAAGAGTGACAGTTTTTTCCACAGCTCTCTCCCACCTGTGCCTTTAAGGAATTGTTCTCTCTCTTTGGTGGCACTAGCTGAGGGGAAATGGCACGATGAACCAAACTGAGCCACCGGTTGGTTCACTGCAGGGAGAAGGCAAGTCACCAGTCTGCCCTCAATGGCAGGCCACGGTCAGCTCACAGAGAGTGCAACTGTTTCCCCCTGTCCCCTCTGGATTAGTCAGAGGGAAAACATCACTAGACCTTTGCAGGGAATTCCACTTGGTGTGACACCTCATCCCACATCTTCACAGATGCTCTACAAAGCTCACTTGGTGTTCTTAGCCAGGTGTGTTGGCCAGGAGGCAAAGTACATATTGACCACATATTCTCACAATCACTTCACTAATACCAAACACTGGAGACGAACCTGCTTAGAGACAAGAATTCTAGCGCTAACGGTTGCCCTGTAACCTTCAGAACATCACACAGCAACACAAAACCAGTACGAAAACACATACACTCTATCCACTTCCAGCTCTGATGGTTTCACTGTAGCATCTAAAATAAATGGATTCCGATTCCAAAACACTTAGTGCAGAGACAGACTTGAAACTTTACAGTCATATCCACTTCACAAATAGCCATGAAGCGATTGTCTTCAGAGTACTTAAAACGGAGCTAGAGCGAGATATTCCGAGATGTCTGTCCTCCAGACTCCAGATGCCCGGGTTGTGCAGCTGTGCAAGCGCTGACAACACTGTTCCCGTGACCTGTGGGGACTCAGCCTGATGGTCAGGCACCAAAGCTCAGCTGGAGTCATCGGCTTGTACTGTTCTTTGGTCATGGTCTGTGGTCCCTGCCTCCCTCAACCTCCTCTCAAGGGCCTGATCCAGTCTCACAGGGAACCAGGGTCAGTTCCTGAAAGAGTTCACACAATCCATTACCATCACTGAAAAGGTCACTCAAAGGTTAGGATCTGTGGAGCAGGGTTATTGCTATCATCTCTAACCACGAAAGACAGTTTAATCTATGACACTAAAGTTCATCTGTCAGACAGATCCGTTCCTCTTGCAGACAAGCGGGTCCCTTTGGAGCACTTCTATTTTACAGTTGCTTGCTCCTATAGGCAACTCCTCCCTCGCCTAAGGGCAAGTCAGAAAGGCTTGGGGGAGCCCATCGCAGGACAAAGCACCTGGGAATGTTCTGGAGATAATTCAGGAAATGGGATGACCTGGGGACCTCTTACTTGTGAGCAGGGAGGGCACTTTGCCCGAGTTGCTCTGTCCACAGTGTTCAGAGGTGGCACCGTTTGTCCACAGACTGATAAGGGGGTGGCCTTTTCCTGTACTCACAGACCCTGCAAATTCCAGCCTCACATCCAGGTGTGGAGTCCTGAGAGACAGACAGACGCACCTCCCCAGGAGGAGAACTTTCTCCCTCCCTGCCTGGAAAACAGTGCAGGCTGAGACATCGCAAGATCCCTCGAAAGCAGTAAAACTTAATCTCATGAGAGTGAATTCCTCCTGACAGGAACTTTACAGTTTTATTTCTGGTTCAATAATATACACTCAACCCCTGATGTTAATCTAATGAAGCTCCTTTTTTATAAATAAAAAGCACGTTTTCATATTTGGCTCTCAAAAACCTCGCTAGCATATTTACTGTTAATTGGAATACATTTTATTGACAATGTACAACATGCAACAAATAAAATCCTGGAAATAACCCTGCATTCAATGGAGAAAAGTACTAAAACCATTTGTCTCCCGGAGGCAGGCAAGAAAAGCACATATATCCTTTACAGTGGAAAAAGGAGAAATACTGAAATTTACGTACCAGCTTTTCAAAATTGACAAGGTTATCCAAAAAAGTTTTATTTCCTTCATGAATAAATGTTACATCTGGAAATTAGAAACAAAAAGATATATGTACCATTAGGAATGGATCACAACTGGCTGTCAGGGCTGAAGAGGTCGACACACAATGCCACTTATACAATTTTCTTAAACATTATGGATTATTCCGTGTACTTGGCGAGCAACTTGAAATGGAATTTGTATAGTCTGTGACGTGAACGTGCATAATCTTCATGCATGTGTGGAAAACAGTGTAATGCTACTGAAAGTATATACTTTATACTCACAGTGAAGTGTTTGACATCAACCTGCTTAATATAAGCTAACATTGTCCTATAACTTAATTGTTCCATTATGTTTTTAGGCCAGAACACTGAGCAGAAAAGGACCAAATACTCAGAAACGACAGGATTTTAGTAATTACGTGTTTGCTTTTTATAAAAGGCCTAGCAAAGTATATCGGACTTGCTTTACTTAAAACAGTTAAGATTTAGATCTAGATATTTAAATTTAAGTCTTTGGTTCTGAAAGCTGGTACCTGATTGTGCACCAGAAGTGAGGAAAGGGGTAGTTTTGAAAATGGCAAGATTTCTGACACCATTCGACTGGTAGAAAGAAAGCATCACTGACAAAAATGAAGTAAGGAGAATAGGATGAAGGTACGTTTTCAAAGAGAAAACTTGGTTAAACTTGGTTTGAGACTCTGCTTTTAAAGGGACCAATGATATTCATTAAAAAATCTCCTTTTGGTTGTAATAAACAAAGGAGTGCTTCCTCGGGAGATCCAGATTTGGGAATTAGTTACATTAAAGGTAGCAGGTGAGGACTTAGCCAAACTCAGATCAGAGGGTTGATGATTGAGCATTAGGGAATCCTCACAGATGAGGTTCACAAAAAGAGATACACTACAGTTTAAAGTACATACAAATAATCATGTTATATCAGATGTGGAGGGCCAGCCAAATAAAAATAATCTTCAAAAATCTTATTAAAGTAATCAGATAGAAAAGAGGGAAAAGAACAGCTTAAAACTCCTATGAATAGAAGGGAAAGTATTTGCATTTCATCAAGACTCTTCTGCTGTTCCCTAATTATGAGATCGGTGCACCTGAAACGTGCCTCCGAGGTTTGACAGCAGCCAGGAGGTGACCCCGCTAGCCGGTTACAGCACACCCTTTCCTCAGGCCCTCCCTACACACAGCTTCCAGTGTGGACTGCCATGTTTTCATCAGCTTCCCCCCACCCTTTTTTGTCTTTTGAACTGATGTTCCAGTAGGAAAATGATTCACAATTAATTACACAGTCTTCTGACAAACTCTCTGGTTATTTTATTATCTTTTGCAATTTTGCTTTCGGAAAATAATTGCAAGCTTTCATTCTGTGACACAATATTTAGAAAAGCGAAGTCAACACACTTAGTTTTTACCTTTTTTGTATAGCAAATAAAACCCTGTGTGCACTCTATGCACATTAAATACTACCTAACAGCCTGGCCTTTACTAACTCTCCATCGCAAACGCCCTCAGAATCCCTCGGCCCGTTTCCCCAGTGTTACAAGGTTTATCTTCCAAGCCCCTCACCCCCCAGGCACCTCGGGGCGATGATGAAGGTGGTGACAATAACTTATATGTATTGTCAGTGTCAGACATGGCTCTAAGTGCTTTAGCTGCGTTAACTCATTTAATCCTCATGAAAGACTGTAAGATAAACCTAGGAGGTAAGCATGTCAAGAAACTGGGGCTAAAGGTACGGTACAAAAGACCACCATCTCCAAAAATAGCACAGCGCATACACCGCTGAGCTGCCTCTGACCCTTCGCTCAGCTGGGTCTTTTCCCCTACACTTATTTAGGGTTTCCCATCACCCCTTTCTGACCAGGATTCCACACCACAGCAGTGGGAAAGTACATCTAAAGGGAAGAAATTCAACTGGGAAAGAGGAAAATGATGGCTGGATGGATCCTCAGGTAATCCACTTACTTGATCGCTTGCATGCTTACTGAGAATTGACTATATCAAAAAATGACACAAGGGAGGTCTAATCCTTCCCAAACATCCAAGCAGTTCAATTTGGTTCTATTTCTCTAATTAAAAGCAACTCATCATAGAAGGTACAAGAGAGGGAAGAAAAAGAGTTATCATTAAAAATTAAGATGGTTGCTCTAAAATAGTTCATCACAACTTTAAAAATAGTTACAGTTAAAAAACCTAAGAATTAATGTGTATTTTTGCCAAAACGCCTCATCTCAGGCATGACACACACACACACACACACACACACACACACACACACACACACACACACACACGGGTTGTCCAGAAAGTAACCAGCCATTGTCAATATATTTTTCATATTACATGGCTGGACACTTTCCAGATAGCCCTCTGTATTTTCAATTTTCACCCTATTTTCTTTGGAAATTATTTTAGACAAGAATAGTAACTTTAAAAGCCAGGTGCAGTGATGCACACCTATAGCCCCAGATACTCGAGAGGCTGAGGTGGGAGGATCTCTTGAGCCCAGGAGTTCAAGTCCAGCTTGGGCAACATAGCAAGATCCCATCTCAAAATAATAATAAAAAAATCTATTACACTTAAAAACAGTAACTTTAAATACAATGGAGTACTATTAATAATACTATTTTTATAATGACAAAAATTAAGATAAAGAAAAATAAGTACTTATTTAAACTCAAGAAGGCTTTAATGAAAAAGAGAAAAAATATTTACTTTACTTCTTGTTTTTGGAATGAGTGAGTGTATTTTCAGTATAAAAAGGGAGGTTTGTCTTGCTGCCAACAAAGAGATCTAGATAAACTCAGTAAAGCAGAAAATTGCATCCAAGCTAAGATGTACATGAGACACTTGACTACATTAAATATTTTGGGGGAACACCCACCAATATATAGCAGAAAGCTTTATTCATATCTAATTAAGTTAAAGGAACACTATCAATTAATTTCTCTTTACCTTGTATTTATTGTTTTAATTTTTTTCTTCCTAAAATCAATTCTTGCTTACATCTACCCTCATTTTCTACTGTCTCCATTTGTGTCTAAATGATTCTAAGTGTTACTTCCCACCTGCCACCTCCTACCCTCCAGGTGAAGGCATTTTATTTTGCAAATAAAAAGCATAAGCCCAAATAAACTTATCTTAAAAGCAAATAAATATGAAGAATCAAATAAACTTTTAAATTGCTACTTGGGCATTGCAATCTCTCTTTATTTCATCTGTTTATATTTAACAGAATCTTTCAACTGCAACGAAGCATTCGTGCATCTCTCAATTGTCCTAATATTGTATTATTCTTTCACAGAGATTCTTGATTTATATTTAATGAAGACTAAATGAGTAGCTGCAGGGATGCACAGCAACTCACAATAATTCTCCGAGCTCTGGCTGTTCTTGAGAGCGGCTGAAGAGGGAGTGCTGGCTTTATTGCCAGTGGGGGTGGCAGTCGGGAAGGTGGGGGCTGAGGTCAACCAGCAATCCCGTAAGACTTATTTCCAGAATCACATTTATGGGTCCAGTTGTTGGGGCCTAACCCAGCAGAAGTTACAGGCTCCTGAAGAGCAGAGGCTGGATGAAGGAGTATTCCTACGAAACCTCCAGAAGGAATCAAAATATGACCAAGGACAACACCCGAACCCCCTATCCCTACAAAGCACACAGGTACAGATATACACTGAATGTCAGGAGTATAAGCTAGATCAAAAAGAGTTTCCTTTTATTAATCCCATTAGTTTGAAAGAGCAATCACTGAGATCTCATCAGTAAATTTAACATGTTTTGTGATGGATTATTTGGTGCACTATAGAAGAGAGGTCAGTGGACTGACTTGGAGCTGTCCAATACTTTCCCAACTGGATTCCACTCCTTGAAAGAGGAAAGTACACTCTCCATCAATAACTTTCATACACTATATTGCTTGTATTGACCAAAGGTAATTCTCACACAACAGCAAACTGTGGGCTGTGTTTCTACAGTTGCAAACATAGAGCATGATTGATCACCATTTGGGTTCTTTATGCCAGCCTTATTCTTGGTTGAATTCAGTGCATTGCAGACTCAAAGAAAATAATGCAGGGCTTAGAAGCAGAGTAAAAGAAAAACACAAGTTTCCAGTGCCCAGTTTTGTGAGTCAAGTGAAAATGCTTTGATGTCTGCTCCAGCACAATTAAGCATTCTAGGTACCTCAAAAATATCTAAGCATTTGAAAAAGGATCATAAGTAAACACAAGTAGGTCTGAATGCCAAAACTACTGTAAACGGAGAGTCCTTTTTTTGCCCTCTATAGTGTGAGTGATAAATTTCTGGAAGATGGAATTACATAGCATGAAAGATAGAAAATTGTTACCTTTAAGCAATAAGGGCATGAAAGGGATTTTTGGTGGCTTCATCTTTTTGAATGCATCTCTGTAGGCTTTGTGATTTAGCGAAGGATCCTGCAGAACCAAGCAGATTACAAAGACAAAGAAAAATCAATATGCCATAGAAAGAATTCTAAATCCACTTTTGCTATATAGTTTGAACATGATTTAGATATAGAGAGGTTCTTCCTAAGAATGAAGTAGATAAAGGTTTCCTAGGAGAATACTCACTAAATTAGGGCAGGAAATCTAGGCAATGAATGAAACTCAAGTTATTGGTTTACAATAATGGGAAATGACTGCAAATGGGAGATACCTTTTGATTGCCCTATTATTTTCCTCAAATAGGTTCTTTAAGTACAGTTTCCTCTGCATAATTTCTATCGTAAGTTAACCCGACATCTTTTGTTAGGTACACTGCCAAGAAAAACTGCCCTCATCATGCACAGACAATACAGAGAAAACAAGAGAATACTGTTTTATTGTACTCTATTATAAAAAGAAACTATAAATCTTGTATCTAAATTGTAAAAAGGAGAAAAAAAGAAAAGAATAATGCATAAGGCAATAATTGCACACTAAATTTATACTGATTACTTTTGTAGTCTTTGAAATAGACTATTTTTAAAAATCTGCCTTCTGAAAAATCACACTAAAAGAATTATTCTCACCACCATTTTTCATGGAGAGGAAGAAGCATTAACTGTCAAATAGCTTCCCTCCACGAGAAGCAAAGTTACATTTTCATGTACAAGTAAACTAGTCTAAGCTACCTGACACCGTGGAGTGCAGATACTAACCACTGAAATCTAGAAGGAAACTAGATGCTGGCAATTAATTTGAAAGAATAAGTCCCCTTTGGCTCAACTACTTACTGTTAAACTTTCAAGTTCAGAGAAAAGTTTCTTAAACTTCCCAGGGATTTTCTACAAAACAAACAAAAGTTCACAGAAGTCAGTTATTTTGAGAGGCACCGAAGGCAGTTTTCATTAAGTTGTATTTAACTGTGTCACATTTCTGAACATAAATAACCTCCATCATCTGGTTCTACCCTGATTGCTTCTCATTATGCAATTTTCATCATCCCCGTGATGTGACATTCCTTAGGAATATTGTTAAAAACAATTTAAAATAACAGCCACATGATTCAGGAATCTAGCTGGTTAGATATTCCACACATTGGTGATTATTTAATAAAAACTTAGATTTCAGTTACACACCCTACCTTTGATGAATGCTCTCATCTTCTTAATAGCCTGGCTGAGTGGGAAATAATAATGTTGGCTGACATAAATGATACAATTGTATTTCACAGCAGAGAGCTAAATAGTGAAGGGCCACGAAGACCTTAAGGCACGAAGTCTGCGCTTCAATGGGTAGAATCACTGAATTGCAAAGCTCAACCACATCGACAGGTGGCACGCAACAACGACAGAGGATGGAAACCTATGCCATCCTGCCAAATAAAAATTCAGGCATAAGGAAGATGGGTCCAAATGTTCCAGCCTGCCTTTAACATGAGTAAGTAAAAAACTGAATGTCTTCCATACTGACTTCGTGGTAAGCAGCATGTACTTGAAGTCAGCTCATTTTGAATCCTGACTGTGCCCCTTTCTAGCTGTGTGGTTTGGTGTGAGTCTCCAGGCTCTCTGATCTGTTTCTCCAGCTGAAGTTAATAGACACATGCCTGAAAAGTATATAATCCAAGGCTGGCTGGGGCTTACTTAACAAATTCCAGCTATTAATATCAACAACAATATTCAAGAAGATATTTGTGGAATTTTCTTTTTCTAAAATGAATCAAAACAATGAGGCAAACCCCACAATAATTAGACTCTTAAATTATTTAGAAGTGGATTTTTCAATGTGATAATTTTGCATCTGAACTCAGTGTATCACAGCAAACAGGTAATTTAATCTGTTTGGAAACTACTGCCATATGCAAACGCATACATGCACACATCAATGAATGGGGACAAGTTAAGCGAGAAGATACAAAATGGAGATATCTGCAAGTGATTCTAGTCTTTATTCAGAGCTGCATATCTTGGTCTGCTGGACATTCCACATGCATGTCCCAGTGGCACCTCAAATTCAACATGTCCAAAGCCAGACTAACTGATCTACTGCAGAGATCAGCCATGGGCCACATCTGGCCCATGGCCTGCTTTTGTAAACAGAGCTTTACTGGATTACTGCCATGCCCATTCTTTCCCATATTAACTATGGCTGCTCTTTCACTCTAGTGGCAGAGTCAAGAAGTTGCAACAGAGACCACATAGCCTGCACAGCCTAAAAATATTTATTCTCAGGCCCTTTGCCAAAGAAGTTTGCTGACTTCTGATCTGGTCCCTCAAACCTACTTTTTTTCCTATATTATCTATCTGGGACAGTGTGATCACCTTCCACTCACTCAGCCACTGACTTAGAGATCCTGTGGTCACCTCCGCCTGGGATGGCCACCCCTCTCTCCAGTAACTCCCAGGCGAACCTCCCAGGCCCCGCTGCATGGGGACTCCCGTTACAGTTTTCTCAGCTACGCTGGGGCAGAATGAGTCCCTCCACTTGCTCTGCCCAGGTCTGGGACTTCATTGCAGGACACTCGGTTCTAATGTATCCATTTCCTAACTGCCATGGCATTGACCCAGCGCCCTGCACATAGTGGGCAGTCAATATGCAGATTAAACTGTTTGAATTTCACTGAATGATTTCTCCTCCTAATTTTTGCAAATCGAAGTTTCTTTCAAGGTTTAATTCAAATTCAGTAGCCATCTGTTTTCCTCCTGCTCTGATCAATCGTGGCATTTTTTCCCCCCATCTCCTTTAATCTTAGGATGTGTGAGAACATCTTGTTTGCTTAACCAGAGCAGGCAGGTCTTTCATTTATTTTCTTTTGAATCCCTTTAAGGGGCACTGACTCTGACCGTTGGGTCACCACAGTGCATCCCATCAGGGTGTGGCCCCTGACTGAAAGGAAGGGAATACTTTCATTTGCCCAGACACCTACACTGAGAAAAAAGTAGTTATCCTATCAAATTTTCTCTTGTAGGAGGAGTTTGAATTGGGAACCATAAAGAGAATGGTGCAGTCAGTGATAGGAAGTAAATCTGCGAGGACTGTGGAGAGAGGCTACAGTGACCACAGGGAGCCGGAGGCAGGCTAGAGCCAGAAGGGAGGAGGAGAGATGCTTATGGAGAAACGACCAGGGAGAGGGATGGTAGAGTGAGGTGGCCAGTCAGCAAGGAAAGGAGAGCGAAGGAAACAAGAGCCCAAGGAAAGAAGGTGAGGGGGCCACGGGAGAGGCGGAGAGTCCTATGTCTGTGTCTGGCTAGGTACAGGGGCTCCCTGGATCCAGGGCTCCCTATGGACTCAATATGTGTATCAGAACTTGTGCTAACTCGAGTGGGCCTCGCCTCTTATAACCCCAGCAGCCTCCATCAGGCAAAGAGGCTGAGCCAGAGTTTGGGAGGCCTGAAACGTATAACCTTTTGTGGATCCTCTTTAAAAAAATACAAAATTACTTTAGAAAATTTTATAAGAATATACATCATCCATGTGAATACATTGCCAGGGACCCCGCGAGTAAGAGGCCCTGACACTTAAATTCATTAGCATCATGGCACATCAGCTTCTGAGCACACATCACCGCACAGGCGAGACTGTGAACGACCAGCATGGAACTGGAACCCGCTACCAGAGCACGCAAGGGAAGGCTAATTCTAGCTGGGGAGCGTTTTACCATTTTTATCCTTTTTGTATATACCTTATTTTAAAGACCATTTGATCGAAATGGTCCCTGCCACCTTGACACATTACTTTTTAACATTTTTAGTCTAGTAGTACATATCTCATTTAAACCATTTAAGCAAATTTGTTTTCATTTTATTTTCCCACTCCCCACCACACACAACAGGACCCCAGGGCTCACCTCCCAGGTCTGCGAGAGTCGGCTGACAGAAGCAGTGTTGAGACCCATCACAATAGCAAAGAAAGAATTCAGGTTTCTCTGGGCTTTGCAGCTATGGAGAAAGTAGAGGACACTTTGAGGAAACATCCTTTTGCTGAACGATCACAAAAGAGAAAGCTGAAAAAGGCTGTCCTAGGCCACAGGGTTCAGGAACTCTGCTCTACAGCCCAGGTACCCTTCACCACCCCCAGCTGTTTCCAGCACAAAGAAATGATTAATGATCACAAAGGCTTCAGCTCATCCTTACCTTTAGGAAAAGATCTGTGTCCTGGACAACGTCTTGACATTTCACAAGATTCCTTTTTTTTTTTTTTTTAACTATTTTGTGCGCATTTCCAATTCCCACTGAACCGTCTTTTAAATTCATGTTTCTTCAAATACGCCACACTCTCCTTGTAACAGCTCTCTGGTCCCCACTCTCCTTCATCAAAATGCTTTTTTATTTTTTGACAGACAAGTCCCTTTCCCCACACAGGTCTAAGCTCCCACTCCCATTACATTTAGGCACATCTTCTTTGCTGTCAACAAAATAGCTACTATATTATGTATATATTTAAAATATGGCATATATTAATGGGGATACTGTTCCACATTTCTCACTTAAAGAAAGAAGGAAATAAAATGCAAGGTGAGATCGTGTGGAGCTCCATTCACTTCACAAGGTTATCCATTCTACGTTACGTCAATCATGCCCACAGACTTAGAGGATCAACATTCCACTATTTCTCAAAGCCGGCTGAGAGGGCTTCGTATAGCAGGGGGAACTTGCTTCCAGGTCTGCCAGAACAGCTAGTGAATCCCATATACTCCTTTATCTGGAGAGCATTAGAACACAACTTCTCTGAGCTAAGGCTTTAACATCAAGAAATTATCCTACTTTATAATTAAATATGAGAAAACATGAAAGCACTCGGCAGTAAGCAGGGTGCACAACAGGGCCTAGTGCATGTTAGTTTAGCCTCCCCCAGATGCCGTCTCTTCCATGACATCTCTACCAATGTCTCAAATGGAATTTGGGCACAGTGTATGTGCAACTCTGTAGCTGCTTTTTCAGTTAAATACCATGTTATATTATGTACTATGGATTCTTCACTATCATCATTAATGGCTACATGATATTTCATCAAGAACATATTCTATAACTTATTTATTTCTCTATTATTGAAATTTAAGTTATTTTCAATCCCCCCATTATACAGAATGTTGCAATGAATATCTCGGGTATACACGTTTTTACTGTATTTATGATTTTTTTCATTAAGTTAGATTTCTAGCCATTACACGATTGATCAACAGCTACGAAGACTTTAAAGGTTCTCGATACATATTACACACTGCTGTTCCCAAAGCTATATTGATTTCCAGTTAGTTGCACAGGTAGCGTATGAGAACGTCTAGTTCAGAACCAGGAAAATGGTTGGGCTGTTGAAGCAAGCAGGGAAGTCCAGAGTGGCTGTGCTCTGGCAGGTCCTGCCGGAACCGGCCCGGCCCTGGAGCCAGCCTCACCAATGGGGCACAGCCCAAATCCTGCTGCACCTGGGCTCCAAGCCAGGGGGCTCAGGCCTGGGTGCATTTTAGGGGGAGTTCTATCCCCACTAACAGTGGACCCTGCAAGGGCACTGTTGCCTCCACACCAAGTGTGGAAGTTATCAGGGTGAACACACGTCCTGTAGACACCTCACTGCTGAACCTCCACCAGGCACAGTCTGTCCTTCTCATAGTTGTGCTGCCTAGCTTCTGGCTCTGCTCACAGTTTCCCAGTAGTGTGGGGCCCTGGACCTCAGTCCAAGTGACCCCTTACTTGGTGTCTTGCCAACTTTCTCCTGGGTGGACCCTGCTCGGTGTATTTCATGAACAAACCAAAACAAGATACTTCCTGGTGTATGATTTGGAAACTCATCTGTTTTTTTTTTTTTTTTGAAACTCATCTGTTTTTGAGAATCACTGCTGTGTAAGGCTTCAATACTGTGACTCCACCTCCCTCCTGCTGTTCACGTCCCCCATTTTACCCTTTCCGTTTCATTGCATCTTTTGAAAGTTCACACCAGCTAGAACAGATCAGAGTTAGCGCCATCTCTTTTTTTTTTTTTTTTTTTGAGACAGAGTCTCACTGTGTTGCCCGGGCTAGAGTGAGTGCCATGGCATCAGCCTAGCTCACAGCAACCTCAAACTCCTGGGCTCAAGCGATCCTCCTGCCTCAGCCTCCCGAGTAGCTGGGACTACAGGCATGCGCCACCATGCCTGGATAATTTTTTCTATGTATTTTTAGTTGTCCAATTAATTTCTTTCTAATTTTAGTAGAGACGGGGTCTCGCTCTTCCTCAGGCTGGTTTCGAACTCCTGAGCTCAAACAATCCGCCTGCCTCGGCCTCCCAGACAGCTAAGATTACAGGCGTGAGCCACCGCGCCCGGCCTAGCGCCATCTCTTGACTTGACATTCTGAAATACTAGGATCCTCTGTCCAGGTGCTTGTGTTCAGCAAGAACGGCTCCATCCCTCCTCCTCACTCCCTCCTGGGTCCTCTCATCTGGGTCCACCCTACCAGTGTTGGAGGTCCCACTGGTTATACCATTCCTCGCTGCACAGCAGATGCCTTAAGGCTGGAGTATCTGTCTACTCATTTTCATACTCTGCCTGTCACTCAACTGCTTAGTATTACACATAGCAAGCCTGTCAAACAGCATTTGTCGAAGTTGAAAACTAGAACTTCTGGGGAAATGGTTTTACTATTATTCATTATAAAAAAGTTTATTATTATTCTTTTTATTCAGCATCATTTATCTACATGAAATCTTAGATATAATTCCCATGTTTTTATCTGTTAGCTCCCCATAAACAATTTTCCTGGCACATATAGATTTCTTTTCTAGTCATACTTTAAGAAACAAAAACACACATATAACTAACATCTGAATCTGTTAAAAAAAAAAAAAAAGAGGAATTAATATAGACACAATTTCTTTTGAAGGCAAATTGACACAGTGCAAATATTAGATACCATTCCAGTCTGGAATCCTGTTACCAAGGGTCATTCATTCCGTGATAAGAACAGACTGCCTGACACTAAACATTCCAGTCCAGCAAACACTCCTTTGTCTCTGTGTGAGGAAATAAAATCCACTCAATCCACAGAGGTGGGGGATGGGAATGGGGATGGGGAGGAGGAGGGGAAACATGAATATGCAAATAGGATGCCTTAGGCAGGAAAAACACTTCACAATTGTGGAAATTACTACTTTCCCTTGGTTATTCCCACCAGTGTGATTATAAGGAATTTAACTTTATATTTCTGTTGGCACTCTATTCCATGGGCTAGGGATAGAGACCACTACCATAAATAATTCAAGAGCATGGGGCCATATGGAGAAGATGTGAATATATTTCATTTCCCTAAGGATAGATACAGTCTTACACTGGGGACCGAGCTGGGTAGTGTCATTTTACTCCCTGGAACATTAATTTCCCATTTCTGCACGTAACTGGCATTTATAAGAAAGCTTTTTACCCAAAAGAGTCTCACCTTCGGGAATTTCAAAGGCTATTTTGGAATACGCTGGCCAAAAAAAAAAAAAAAAAAGCATTCACCATAAAAACAGCCTAAGATTTAGGCATATCTGTTATCTATCTTTCCATTCCCAGTCACATTAAACACCAGGTCAGGCGCTTCCACACTTATCCTGCTTCTGGAGTCTCCCTGCCTTGAGTTCAGCCTGTGTGCTGCTTTCAGCCCACCTTCCTGAAGGACAACTCTGATCATACTGGCCTTCTGCTCAACAGCTTTCGAAGGACCCCTTCTCGCTTGTCAATCCAGTTCGAGCTCTTCAATCTGAAATTCGAGATCCTTTACAGTTTGCTCTCATCTTCCTTTGCAGATCAATCTCCCACAACTTCCTTACAAATACCCCCTCTCACACTTGCCAAAAGGTATGAGGCTTCCTTCCCTAACCACAGGCTCTGCTTCTCTGTCTCCAATAAGTTTGCCCACCGTGGGGAGTATGTGCTTCTGAATTCTTACCTGTCAAATCCCACCCAGAATTCAAATAGAGCCTCAAATTGCTGCCTCCTTCACAAATGTCTTCCTGATCCTGCCTCCCACACCCTTAGGGTGTGAGCTTTCCCTCCTCTAAAGCCCCCAACAGAATTAGATCTCACACCAGGGCAGCCCCCCACTCTATTTGGCACAGTAGCCAGCTGAGTTACAGAAGTGCAGCCCGGCAGACTGCAAGCTCCTCGGAGGCAGGACTGGGTGTAGCCTCAGTCTGATTTCCCCATAGTGCCTCGTACAGACCTGCACATAGAATGAGTGATCAATAGATATTTCCTGGATATACTGCATTGACATGTACTTGTAAACTGTTTGATACAAAAACTACTTTCATTACTCCTACAAAGGAGAAATGAAATGGGAAGCCTGGGAGGCAAGAGGAGCCGAGGAAGGTTTTGACCCACGCTGCCTGCTCCTGCTGGGGGGCTGTCCGAAGGACAATCTCAGGATGCTACTCTGGTGTTTTAAGAGATGCTCCCAGCAAGTTACCAAAATTTCATTCAACCAACATTTACTGAGTCACTGCTGTTTACCAAAGTCTATACTAGGCACCAAGGAACAATGAGTGGTTAGAAATGGTCCCTGTTCTTCAGGACCCAGTGAAGGAATCCTAAATAAATGAATATGTCTAATAAATATAATAAAAGAGTTTTTGAAAGATAATAAGTACGTGTGTCCAGAGGGAAAACAGTTGACCCTGCATTTGAAAGTCAGGTATGACTTCAGGAAGGAAGGAACATTTGCCTGAGGTCTTAAAGAATGCAACAATTTGTGGGGTAAAAGTGGCCATTTCTGGCAGAGTCAGCAAGTTTCCAGGCTTGGGGGATGATGTGCATGGGAAAGAAACAGACATTCAGAGTGGCTGGGAAACAAGGAGTACCCAGTGGGGGAGGCTCAGAGATAAGTTGGGGCCAGCCAGTGCCAGGCCTTCTGACCAGTGAGTACGCAAAAGTTCAGACTGTGGGTATCAAGGAACAATGAGCAGAATCCTAGACTGCATGGATTTGCAATCATTCTCATCCCTCACGTCATCTTCCCTTATTTTCCCAGCCTACTGGAGCTCTCCCGGCGCCCCTGTAGTTCAGCCGCTGGGTGGAGGATATGTGCACTGCCTGCTTATTAGCTCTGAAGCACAGGGCACAGTGCTTCCATCTGATATTCTGACATTTACTTAAGATATAAATACTTCAAATGCAAAGACATAAATATTCAAGAACAGACCTTTTCAAACATTTGGTCACTTAACTCAACATTACACTTTTACATCCCAACCCCAAAAAACAATGTATTCTCTCAAGGAGATGAGAGGAATGGCACTTTTCACCACTGAAAACTTACTGAGCCGCAATTTTGATGAATTTTTTCACCAGCTGCACTCGCTTGCCCAGCTGGCTGCAGAGCAGAATCTCCGTGGCCACCCAGAGCTGGACCTCATTGCATCTCTGGAGCAGAAGGCTGAGGTTTGCAGTGTGTTCCCCACTTCCCTGTCTGCTGAATGTGAAGTAGATCAGCTCTTGCTGAAAGAAAGTGTATTCGTGCCAGGGTTTACTGACAGCAAAGTCAAGCTGATAAAAAATTCAGGCCATTTTTAAGAGATACTTCCGGTAGCCACTCCCATGTCATTAATACACTAACAGAAAATATAGCAAATAATCATGCATTAAATTCAAAATAATTTATATTAAGTTTTAGAGATACCTCCATCAATAATGTTCACCTAGAATCCTTGTATAAAAGGAATTTTTCAGAAATGTAAGGAAGACATCTTCACATGAAGATCTAAGACATTCTAAAGTTTAAATCACAGGCCCAATGGAATTCCCCAAACTTCCCAAACTTACATTGAAAAATTCAAGCAAAAATGAACACTAGCATTACTAGTATTTGTTAAGGTGCACATCAGACCCTCACAGGTCTGTTCTCTAAGACAATGGTCCTCAAACTCGAGTGTGAATCAGGACCATCTGGAAAACTGTTAAAGCACAGATCGCTGGGCCCCACTCCTAGAACTTCTGGTCCTGTGGGTGTGTGGAGAGGCTAGAAATGTGCACGTCTAACAAGTTCCCACGTGGTGCTGATGCTAGTCTGCGCATCCACTCTTTGAGAAGCATTGATATAAGGTATTGTCAAACCATGAACAGAAAGGAATGAGACTGGGCAAGATCCAATAATTTACAAAAGCAAATGAGACCAGTAGCTATTAGATAGATAGATCATGTGCAAAGCAACAGAAATTTATTTTTAAGTGTGTGTTTGTGTGTATTTTATAGAAGTAATCCACGTTCTCCCACTGCATAAATAGGGACACATCCTACTCTATTAACATTGCCAAAGACACAAGTTCACTACTTGCTCAAACTCAGATCATAATGTTGAAGTTTCTTTAATGAGAAAATATGAAGACATTTAAAAGACATCCCAAAACGAAAATACAGCTTAAGGGTCCCTAAATTGGGCATGAGGTTCCTTTTTCAGATGGAAAGCCCATTTCAGAATGAAAAATTTCACTACATGGCAAAACAACTGCAACATATGGTTGCACGGGCTCTAACATTTTTCATCTCCTGATTCCTGTGAGCCTTTCCACTGGCCAAATTTACTCATTAACTGTCAGTAGCATTTTGCTCCTAATCCATTGTTTTATAAATGTCATAAGGTGTCTTCAAGTGAGAAATTTATGGACATAAAAATTTGAAATATATCCAAAAATTTCAAGAAAGTACTTGAAATCTTATAGCACAGTACAAATTTATACAATGTTCTTAAGTAAAAAAATGAACGTGTACATACATAAATATAAATATGGTTCTTGTACAACTACTGTAAACTCCATGGGAAAAAAAATCAATATCAAAGATAAAATGGTTCCTCAACCCCATTAAAGCATCATATATACATACATATATTTATACATATAAAATATAGCATATTTATACCACATTACAAATTTATACAATGTTCTTAAGTAAAAAAATGAACGTGTACATACATAAATATAAATATGGTTCTTGTACAACTACTTTAAACTCCATGGGAAAAAAAATCAATATCAAAGATAAAATGGTTCCTCAACTCCATTAAAGCATCATATATACATACCTATATTTATACATATAAAATATAGCATATTTATACCACATTATACAAGCATATAATTGTGCTAAGAGCAATAAAGTATGTTCCTATATTCTGATTTTTCCAAGACTGTGTCAGTCTTTCAGTATATTTAAAGTTCCCAAATATCTTTTGGACCATGTTATCATAGCATAACTATATCACCACACAAATAGACACACATAGAATTCCAGAAGAATTCACAGTTAAAACAGCATTCACATTTTATCTTTTCACTTCTTACTTACCTCATGAATTGAATTGAATAGACTCCAATCAAAATTCATTAATTCCAGAGCAAGATCCCAAGTGTTCATTCCCAAAATCCTCATCGACCTTTGCTGCGATTCCTCATTTTCTGCCAATGGGTTCTAAACCGACAAACAGAAGCAAAAGGGTCCCTCAGTAATTCCCAAATGTTTTGCACTGAACTGGCTGGCCATGGAAAGGCACTAGAAGCCCAGATTAGAAAAGTAATCTTTTCTGAGTGCACTTAATATTTTCCCTGGTCTGTTCACCTTCAGTGAGTTACAGCCAATTTAGGAAACGGTCTTGGAAACAGTAGGATGTGATCAATGATACTTCACTGAGTTAGCCTGCCCCTCCTCCACCCCCACTCTCCATCCTCCCAACCCCCAACCCACGCACACACAAATCTGATTATAAAACCCTGCCCCAGCAGACAGCATAATGAAAGCGAAAGCCCTGAAATCACTTTGGCTTCTGGTAAGAATTAATGTGCCAGCAGGGTTAGTATAAAAACAAACAAAAGAAATGTCATGGTGCAACTTCAATAAAGACAGACATGGCTTTTACAGGAAATATGTTTAACAAGTCTCATCCCAGACACACATTTACAAATGTTATTAAAATGTCTGTGGAAAGTGAAAAAATTTAACATGAAATAAAAAATAAAAGTTATTTCATTTATACTCCATTTTAAGTATCAACTGCTTTCCCTCTACAAACAGGACCTAACCACTATGAAGTTGGTAATAGTACTTCACTAAAATCTGGCATAAAATTATTAAATGCCACCACAACTTTAAATCTATTGCTGTTGTTAAAGTCATTAACAAAATTATTTGGCATCTTTCCAAAATATTTGATCTTTTCTAATTAAAATATAAATTATCCCATTTGAAGGGTTGGACTTGAACAGTTAATGACTTAAAAATAAAAAGAAAAGGACTTTGTAAAAATAAATGACATGATTGGATAGAGGGAATATTCCAGATGCCAGATATTAATCCCTATTTCTAAACTGGAAAATAAGTTACCTGCATTTTAGAAGTTTTACATTTATGAAAAAGTATCCTAATTTAAAAAAAACTAATGACTGGAGACCTTTGCAGAGCTTTCCCACAGACTTGATTCTCTTTGGAGCAGGTCAAGGTACAAATTGTCTCTGTATCCCCAGTGTAGGACACAGTGTGGAGCTCAGAAAGCACTGATTGAATGAAGGAGCTTACAAATTCTGAGGTTTTGAGGTGGGGGGAAAGCCAAGGTTCCAGGGTTGGTCTGGCTAGGCTGGGCCCACATAGACTCCACTGCAGATTTGCGAAGAAAGAACCAGAGTTGGGACACAAATACCTGCTTCACCATTTAGAGATGTAAGGATATTTTTACTTGGCTTTTTGTCTCTCCTATATTCTCCCTAAATGGGCCCCTTACCCTGGCACTGCCCTCTGGTTATTCATGGTTGTCCCTCCTCCCACCCTATCACCAAGAAACACTGTATTTCTCCATCTCATTTCTTCATGGCTCTAATTCCTGTTCCCTAAGAGGATGAACTCATCTATGTGAAAGTACTAGTGGGTACAGATGGCTTCATGTGTTGGTCTTCCCTTAGGATGTTCTATTTTAACTGACATCTTTTAGAGATGAAATATCTAAACTTATGATTCCAACAAGGACATTTTAGGTGGTGTCCAAAGTTGGGGAAACATTCCAGAGCGGGACGGGGTCATACCCCTTTTGGAATGTACTTCACAGCACCCATTCATTCCATGAGGATATCGCCCAGGCCTGCCTGCTCTTCGGCTGGCCCTGGACAGTGGCAGATTGGGCCTTGCAGAGCTGAGGAGGAAGTGGGTATGGAAGACAGCTGGGTGCAACTCTCTTCCACTGCAAGGAGCCCCGCAGCAGCTACATGTTAGATAGTCTTCCTTTGTGGGGAGGGGCAAGAGCGAGCACATTATCTACTTAGAAACGCTGTTCAGCACCCAGCTTGTCATGTTTCCCTGATGGAACTACACAGGACCTGGGACCCGCTGAAGGCCAGAACAGGAAAGGTCCGAGTAAGGCAAACAGTTCCCTCTCCTTTTCTTCCTCATCGTGTAGAAATGAAAGGAATGTGCAGGGGCTTTGGAGCCAAACATAAATGGATTTTAAACCCTAACATTCTCCCTTACTTGGCAGTATGAAGCTAGAGTAAGTGACTCAGCCTCTCCGAATCTCTATTTGGAAGCGTTAAAGGAGATACTGCATGTAAATTACTCAGCACATACGTGTCTGGTAGTAAGTGTGAAAAAGGACAATGATTAACACTATTATGGTAGCTTGATAGCCTGCAGATAACTTTAAATAAAATGTTTTTAATATAAGTTGTTTTGGTTAACCCACATGATATATAGATTATCCAATTATATATAACAGGAACCAGCTAGAAAGACCGGTCCCAGTGACGACTCCATGAAAAGAGATGTAGACTCTGAGCCTAGACATAGTCACGACCAGTTAGAACCTGTATTTCTAGGTGATGGGTCTGAGGCCTGCTCCCACTGCTCAGAAACCAACCACATCACTGAGGAACAACAAAGAGATCATCCACTTAGATGTAAATGTTCTTAAACTGTGGACCGAAAATAACTTAAAGCACGGGCTCTACATTTCTTCAGACTCTTATTCTTCAGTGGCATCTGATGTCCCGTCATTATAACCCCATTTTACACAGGAAAGGCTTTAAGGGAATGGAACAAAGAGCACCAAATGTACTGAAACAAAGGTCTCTTCCCCCTAAATCTACCCAGGGTGCATTTCTCGGTCTAATCTCCACATATCCATCAAAAAAGAAGAAATGGAATTAAACTTCCATGGGAGAGGCAGTCACTTGTCTCAAATCCCTTATTTTAGGAGCTCAGAAAGGGTTTTACTTGGCAGGGGTTTGGAATTCCTCAAGTTGGGCCACAAAAGTACTGTTATTTAGAAAGTATATCATTGGCTAGGGAAGGAAATAATTTAATATATTTTTTCTATCATTCATTATAAAGCATACAAAAATGTGCTTTGAGTCTGACATTTGTGTGCATGTGTGTTTCAAATCAAGGCTAAAGGTCCTTACCAAAGTGTCAGCCAGGTCTTTCCGGTAGACAAATATCCGACCAGATGCCTCAAGGGATTTGGAGATGACCAAGTCATTTGGCTGAAGTTCATGTTTTCCTTCATAAAAAAAAAAGAAAAACCAGGACTGACTAATAACACAAGAGTAGCAGTAGGGCTAGACATATATCAAAAGAGTAAAACTTGCCAAAGAGAAATATTTAAAAATAACTACAACGTAAGGTGGATTAGTTCAGTTCTGTACATTCTATACAATGACACCAGTGGTATCATGAACATCACTGCTCAGCACCCATAAAGGGGAGCTCTCAGTTTAAGGAAAAAAGCGAAATGTATTCATCTCTTAAAAATAACCATACGATGTTAGCATTGGTTGCATTTGGGTATATTTTTGTTATGATCATTATATAAGTCTGTGTATGCACACACAAATAACTGCATTTATTTGCATACATATGCATTCATAATTATTATAGATACTTACATACTTGCGATTATTCCATATATGGTTTTATATTCTGATTTTATTATAAGCACTTATCCACTTACTGAAATAATTTATATGTCATGTTTAATTAGTTATATAATAGTCCATTATACCATCATTTAATCTTTATTGTTGAACATTTAATGGTTTCCAATTTTTTGGTCATACAAATTAGATGGCATGATATATGCTAAGTATTAGCATGGGGCCTAGCACATAACATGGGCTTGATAAATGGGATCTATTATTGTGGCAGCCATAATATCACTGAAGTCAACATCCTTGTGCATAAATCTTTTTCTGCTTACAGATGATCTTCCTAAGACAGATTCCTAGTACCGGAATTATTGGATCAAAGGGAATGAATATTTTTAGTTTTTGATATAAACTTCCAAATTGCTTTCTAATGCTTATTTTTTAGAAAATAAGTCAATATATTTTCCAAAAAATAGGTATAAAACTTGTATACCGACCAACATTGATTGTTACTTTTGGTAAATTTGTTATTTTCCTAAAACCAAAAAAAAAGATCCTTTATTTAATTTGTATTTCTTGACTACTAGTGAGGCTGAATATTTTTCACGTATTCCTCTTCTATTTTTATTTCCCTTATTGCAAATTGTTCCTATCCTTTGACCATTTTTATACCACAGTTAGACCCCTCTTATAACATAATAGCTTTCTTCATAGAAAAAATATCCTCCTCCTAACTACAAAATGCGTACAGGAGTAGATTAAATAATACCAAGTTTTATTTCACTGTGACATAATCAAATTCTCCTAAGGTAGCCGCTTTGTTATCCAGCATGATTGGGAAATGCAATATTCCACACATCTTTTTCTAGATAACTTAATCAGTTCAAATTAAAGTTTTGTTTCGAACATTTCTGTTTAACACAGAGCACACAAATGATAATCTAATCTATTCTTTAAGGCCCAGCATTATAAAGATCAATAGTACTGTAATGTCGGGCTGGTGACATGAACAGCTGATGGTCCCACACAGCTGGGTTCTGAAGTTCCATCTCGTGGGTTCCATCTCCTCCTTTGTTTAGCTATAGTTTCTTGCAGCCCTCTGTGTGCCTACTGTATACCTTAAATCTGAATTTATGAGAGTCATCCATACTTTACAGAAAAAAATGCCATGGCTCTCTGACGGCAATTTTTCTATTTGCTGAGCAACATTTTTTTCCCCCTGATTTTCAGGTTTGTCACTATACTATAAAAGATTAAAACTGATAGAATGGTAACCTCTAACTAACTGGGTAGGTTTTTGTTACTGCATATATATACCTACCCTGGGTACAAAATAGCTAGAAACTTACTAAAGCTATGATAGTATCACTCTTTTTAGAGATACCCACTCTAACATCTTAAAACTTTTTTTTTGACAAAAAGAAAAAACAGATCTGTCATTTTATTCTGAAGTAGCACTAAAACATAATTTATTAAAAATTATGTGACTAGAGCAAGGAATACATTAAGCTCTTTTTTTTTCTTCGTTGAGACATTATTGTTTCGGGGACAATAAGATGCAGGCAGAAAGGTTCCTTGCAGACAAAAAAAAACTACTGGATGGAAAATGATGGCACATTTCCAAATCTGCAGGATAATTCAAGAGATAAGCTGATATTTTTACTGATGATTAGCAATGGGCCTATACACATTGGAACGTCATTGCCCACCCTGATGAATCTAATTTAATAGAGTGTGAAAATGGTATTTCACAGCCATCAAAGAGATATTGGGTACTGAAGAGCCACTCATTAATTGCCAGGTTCTCATGAGGCCCTGGGCTGACTCTGTGTCAGCTCCCGAGGTTGCAGGGGACAGGTCTCAGTCGTGCTGCGAAGTTCACTCAGGGCCCTTCCTTGTCCAGAACCTTCTGTCTGAATAGAGACTCCCGTGATTACTTTCTGTGGTGGTACTATCTTGAGAGGCAAATGTTGGTTTTGATGAAGCTGAATACTGCTTAAAATCATTTAATATTTTTGGTCACTTGGAAATCAAATCTAATATACATTTATCAAACTTATCTGAAATATCTGAACTATATCATGAAAAACTCAACCCCTCCCTAATTAAAATTCATTTAGCCCACATGTTCCTCCAATTCTTGCTTTTTCTTTTTTAATTCTAGATAATGTTTCATCAGGATGTACAGTTAGAGCCTTGGGAGAGGGAGGAGAGAGACTCATTTATTAGGCCTAGGGAGAAGGGATCTGTCTGCATGTGTAATCACCTGGCTTGTAGGACTGTTTTACCTGCCTGTGAGCAACAAAGCAAGAGGAGCAATATTCTGTCACATTATACTTTAAGGTCAAGGATATTCTGATATTCATCTCCCAACTGTAGCATGATAACAAAGGGTAAACATGAAAGCTGTTTATCTGCTCCCCTCCCCTGGCCCCCTCAGCTCTGGCTGATCAGTTCACATAGCACTCACATTTTTCAACTACTGATGCTAAGTCACTTGCTTTGTATTTTTCTCAGGGTTAATGAGATATTAAATAAAGATTGCAAGCCAAAAAGGAGGCCAGTGACACCAAGGTCTGACAGGCTCCAGTGAAAACGAAGGGGTCTGTTCAGGCCACAGAGATCAATAGCGTCAGCTTGTAATCTGTGTGATCTTATTCAAAACAAACAATGAACCATTCTCTGAGGATAAATGAGGCCCAACAGAGGCAGAAGCTGAAACCAGGCCTCGCTCCCCACGTCCACCTGAGGAAGCAAGCTTTCAGCTTATTGTACGCTTTTTCTTTCTTTCGACAGGGAGTCTTTAACTATTAAATTGTCAGCCTGCAATATGACTAGTTCAAGGCCATCTTTCTTTTTTTTCCCTAAAGTAATTTCATTCTATAGCAATTTCCCAAGTTAATTTAAATATGAAAATAGAAGGCTTATCTAGAGCACAAAATATGAAAAGCTTTATAATGTATTTCAAAACACTGGCATGCCTCGCTATTCAGTTCTAGGGGAGGAAATTCAGCATCCAACAGTATCCAACTGTTGTCATGGAAACACTTCTGGTAGGCAGCTTCTCATTGTTACTGTGGTCACCCAGCTGCCGGCCCAAAAGGGACACGCTGCACGTTTACTCTACAAAAATGTCAACTTTCTCCTTTTGGAGGAGATCCAGTGAAAGATTAATATTTAAGGACAGAAAATAATTTACCTCCAGAGAACGTGATGGCCACCAGAACCAGATCCTCTTCTGCATGCTGGATCTTTTCTGCTACAACTTTCAGGATCTCCTGGGCTGTGCTGGAAACTTTTGCCTTCACACTGACATAGGAGTGCTCTGTTATATACACGTGGCAAAACACTGCACAAGTCAAAAGAATTGTTCGTGAACCAACTGTGGTCATGAGGTACAAACTTTTCCAAATCAAGGCACCCACCTTGCTATTGTCTTCGGTATAAAGTACATACATGTGTATGTATGTGAATACCTGAGGGTATATGCCTATAAACATGGGCTTGCAAACACATGAGACATAGACATGATAAAGCTGTTGAACAAGCATGAGTAGTATATAGGCTTCCCATACTGTTACTAGAGACCTGAGTCATGCAAGTCTATACTTACGGTAGAGACTATCTGACCACAATATGGTGGAATCTGTGGTACACGCTGTATTTTTTTTTTTTTTTAAGATAGAGTCCAGCTCTGTTGCCTGGGCTAGAGTGCAGTGGCATCATCATAGCTCACTGTAACCTCAAACTCCCAGGCTCAAGCGATCCTCCTGCCTCAGCCTCATGAGTAGCTAGAACTACAGGTGCACGCCACCACACCTGGCTAATTTTTCTATTTTTTGTAGAGACAGGGTCTCCCTATGTTGCTCAGGCTGGTCTTGAACTTCTGACCTCAAGCGATCCTTCCACTTCGGCCTCCCAAAGTGCTAGGATTACAGGCGTGAGTTACCGTACCCAGCCGACATTGTACTTTTGAATTCCTTCTTTGAGAGCTGCTGAGATCTCCTGAAGAAGCATATTAAAGTGTCTAACTCATAAATTTTCATTTTATACAGCATTTCTGGGCAGTCTCAGGGGCCCAATCAAGAATATCATATTTTGCTATTAGAATTCTCACAAACTTATCCAAAAATCTGTCCTCTGTCTCATTTTTTGTGTTCAGCTTTCTCCATCATTTAAAAATGACTCCCCCATCAAGGTGGTGATGAATTTAGTTTCCAAATGGAGGTTCTATTTCTAAGCCTTTTTTAATTTCCTTTTTATTATCTATTGTGCTAATAATTATTACTAGGACATTATCACTATCAGGGATAATGGGTCCTGAAAAGATTTCTCTTTAAGATTTGAATAGCAAAAAATGTATTAATAGCAATGGAGATAATTGACACATTGCTTCATATTAATATCAGCTATTCTGAATGTATAAAACACTAGCTTCTTTAGAATAGACAAAAGGACAATAATATACTTAGATATTCTGCTATTCTGTATTGCGAAAAGAAAATTAGGAATGTAACTCCTAGAGAAATTTCATATGCAATTTAAACAGCACCACAAAAATAAACCCAGGAACATTTTCATAGAAATGCAAATGAAGCAAAAGCCTAAATATGAGTTTATATGTATAGAAACTCAAAGTGAACACATCACCAGGAAGCACTTCACATATTTGGTTTGGTTGGGTGTGTCACTAAAACAACAGCATTTAACAAATAATTGTTTTATATTTTGTCAACAGGTTTGTAAAAGAGAAAAAAAGCTTTCCTCCTTCCATAGAAAGATGGAATTTTTGACCAAGGTACAATCTAGTCTAAAAACCACTCAATGTCGGTTAGGTTTACAGCTTGGTTAATAAACTGATAAAAACAAACAAAAAAAGAAGCTAGTGGCCTTGAAATACTTAGCTTCTTTGGAGGTCAGCTTGGAAAATTATACAATTAAATTGTAAGACAAATGGGCAGGGAGGGTCAGCAACTAATGAATTAGGAGGTAAGAACATTTTGTTTGCTCTTTTACTTGGTGCAGGTGACACTTAATAGGATCCAACAGAACCCACCTATCAGCGGCGTCATATACAAACACCATGTAACAGAACAAGCATCCTGGGACTTTCTAAAAAATGCTCAAGAAATTGGGTAAATATTAAATGTTCACACTTAGAATTTCAGAACGTGGAGAAAGGGGAGTCAAGAGAGTGAGTCTCTAAGTCACAATAGCGTGAACGTTTTAATTTGCTGTGTTTCCTGGCTCTGCCCGTAACTCAACCTTTATCCACGTAGGAGGAAACCACTGCTAACGTTTCTTGTTCTGCTATAAAATATTAACGTAGAAAAGCACGTCAGCATCTTCAGGGTGCTAAGAAGGTGCTTCCCCTCGTACTGAATGAACAGCCCTCTGCAGGCGAGGCCACGAGCCCCTGCGGCACTAAGGAGCACTGACAGGACACACCGGATGTGTGGCACTGCCCACACGGCCTCGCCTTGGCAGAGTTTCTACCGCATATCCTTCCTTTCATTATTCTCTCCAAGATTTTCTTTTCTAAATCTCATGGACTGACTCAGCCAAAACCCCGTGCCCTGGCTTTGGTGGTCTTTCCAGTTAGTCACAGGCAATGGCCCGATGGAATCAGGGAGGCGGCAGTTCTGGGAGGAAAAATGTTGAGTTTCCCACTTTCCACCTCTGCTCAAGAAAGCAAGGGGCCTCTTTGTGAAGCCTCCTTTCCTTGCTCCCCAAATTAAAAATATCTCTGGTGCTTAGGACAGTATTATATGATCGAACACCCAAAGTAAGAAAAGAAAAACCATTCTGTTTGATGTTAATGTGCTTGTCCAAGGGATATGACTGCAAATGATGGGTAAAGGCAGGCTCGTGTGCTAATGCAGGAGAACGGTGGCGATTCACAGCGACTCCACCCACCCCAAACCCTCGCTGAAAATCATACTCACTTTCCTCTGTTTCAGTCACAGCTCCTCTGTGCTGGAGCCAGTTCTCCTTAAGACTGAATTGGTGGAAAAGGGCTTTATTCTGTGAGAAAGGAGAAAGAGAACAATGAATGAATGCATTCCTGCCCTTTGGAAAACCATAGCTGTTTACAACATGTTCCAAAGAGCTAGCCAATTTTTTTAAAAAATATGAAATTCATCTATCCAATCTCAGAGAAATAAACCGGGAGTTGCTTCAATTAATGCTAGTGGAGAGGGAGATTCTGAGCTATATGATAGGCCTTGGCTAAGGCCAGTGGCAGGCAAACAGCCCCTGTAATTTCCCTGTGACATGCTAGAGAATCCCCCCGCAATTTTTCACCTCTGGCTACTGCAACATCCATGGAGTCTTCTCCTAAGAAAAACATAATTTCCCCATCCCAATAGTAACCTCCGAGTTCCAGTCATCACAATCTGATCTTTTGCTTTTTACGTTTTTCACAGAAGCAACTTTGAGATTGTTTCAATACTTCTGCTGTAGTATAATATAATGACTTTCTTAAGGGAAACAGGTATGTTGTTCATTGTGATTATCCGTCTGATAACATCTGTTTCTCCAAAACTTGTGCCTGACATCTCCTTCCGCATTTCCCCCTCATCACGTTGAACAGGGAACATTCACACTTGCTGTCTCTCTTTCTATGGTGCTGAGAAAGTGCAAATACTTTCTTTACAAGACTTTAGTTTTGGAGTTAAAATTCCTGATTGGATTTTTTTGGGGGCATAAATATTTTAAAGTTCTAATTTGTATCACTCTGGGGACAGCAGGAAGCTCACAGACTCCAAAATGCACCACAAAATATGCAGAATGTCATAAAGTCAAGGGCACACGGCTGAAATCAGATCTGCTCCAGCACAGGGAAGTTAAAGGGAAGCAGGCAAGTGCAGGAGGCTGCAGCCCCAGGCGTCGCTGCCCTGCCCTGCTGTGCTGGAGGCAGTATTCATTTTAATTATGAAGAAATGCCAAGTGAGGCAAGGCCAGGTCTGCAGAACAGATCACCCCATTTCAGATACAGAAGGGTCCGCCTTACCTTCCTTTGTGGTGAATATTCATCTACAGTGCTGAAAGGAAAAGGAAAAGAAGTCAGTCTTTGTCCTAAAACCCAGAATAATGCAGTTATTGTTATGGAAGACTAATTTTCAGGCCCTGGGCAGAGGATTTTGCTCTTTAAAAAAAGATAAAACACAGTATTCATTAACTTACTACTACAACACACTTGACATTGGGCTCTGAATTTCAAATGAACCAGGAAGTAAAGAAGCTATCTATTCAACAGGTGGATTCTGTTTTCTACCCACAGAAAGTGAAGCTGAGAATTGGGGGAGGAACTAGATCTACCCAATCCATGGGAACTCAGTCCACAAAAATAATTTTTTTTTTTAAATCGCAATATTCAGCCCACAGAAATAAGTTTTCTCATATAGTGACAGATTTTAGGTAAAATTGCTATTTAGATAGCTAAATAGTTCAGCCAAGGTGCGTCTTTTCTAGGATGTTTCTCTGTGTGGTGGGACTGGGGAACATTCTGTCCCTCTCTGATTGTGCTCCCCAGAGTCCCACTGCCAAGTGACTTCTGAAGGCCTCCTCCACTTACGGGGAACGAGTACTGGGACCAATCTCTTACATCATTAGGTAAACCATATGTTAAAGGTATCAATCTTGTTCTCAGAAAGAAATACTTTCTCTTCTATTTGTGCACAGTGCATTATAAGAGAATGCTGTGAGTTTCGGTAGGTCTTTTATCACGGTCTATATTATATTAACTTTCCATAGCCTAAGACTAATATGAAAATATGAATAAATGAAACAAAAGAAAAAAAGACAAGTTTTTCATCAAAACAATCCCCCAAATGGAAGTTGCTCTATGCTATAAAGCAGACCTGTTAAAGCTGGGAAACTTTAATATGTGGGGCTCAAATCTTATTCTAGAATCTAAAGATATTTCATAATCTTATACCACCAAAGAAGCAAGAATAATTTTTTAAATTATTTTATCAAGAATAATTTCTTAATATCATTTTATTTTAATCTATCATTTGCCATTCTTATATAAGTTTTAAAAACAGAATATATTAAATTCCACTGATGTACTTAATTTATTTAAATGTATTAAACTATGAATTAAAGTTTCCCAACTATAACAGGTCTGCTTTATAGCATAGAGCAACTTCCATTTGGGGGATTGTTTTCACGAAAAGCTTGTCTTTTTTTCTTTTGTTTCATTTATTAGTTCACATTTTCATATTAGTCTTAGGCTATGGAAAGTTAATATAATACAGACTGTGATAAAAGACCCACCAAACTCATAGCATTCATTTTTAATGCACTGTGCTAACTTGCACCTTACTTCCGAATCTCTCAGCATGAGAGATTCAGATTTGATGATTAAGGATGAAAGTTTACACATGGTTTGCTCCTGAAGATTCATTTATACAGATGTTTCATTTGCAATGGGGTTTCCCTTTACTAACATTAAGTCAGACTTTAAATCTCAAATCAGGAATCTAAAAGGCCTGAATTAACATTTTTCTATGAGAAGTGCATTTGTGACCGCTGAAATCTTAAGCTTTTCACAACTTGACAATATATATGCTTCATGTTTACTAAGTATAAACTACACTGTAAATAAGAGAATGATTTTCCCTTCAGGTGAACTCTGCAGCTGAAAACTGAATAATGATCTGATGTTTTCATTTACCGAAATTAATAAGGAGAGTTAGTGGTAATATCACAGTAAAGTCAGGTATTGTCAATCTGAAAGATTAATGACAGATACCTATGGGATGCTTGGACTTGCCAAGAGTCATTGAGTAAATGGTTTTCTTTAATTTTTCTAAATTGATAAAGAAACCTTCAGGGAACCTATAAAATCGAGCTTTTAAAATGCCCCATGACTCGCTGGAACCTATTTATAAAACTTTTATTCCTATTCCATTGAACCCCCAACTGACAACTTAAATATGTAAACTTTTAAAATTAAATAACAATTTATTAAATAACTGTTTTTATGCACGAGGTTGTCATGGTCCAGCTTCCTTTTATGATATCAAAGAGGGTTAAAAAAATAGTCAATGAGTTTGATTTAGTGTTCTTTCATTTTGAGATACAAGAACAAAATATACAATTTACTACTAGAAAAGCTAAGGAATCAGGAAGAATCTGAGTCAAACTGCTTGAAATCAACTTTAATGCATAAGGCATCCCAAACCCCATCACATTTGCTGCTGCTTTCTTTCAGTAACTATAATTAGGAAAAATGAAATACTTACTGACGACGGTGCATTCCAAGTATCTTTTGAAATTCTTTCAATTCTTTTTCAAGTATTGGATATTCATAGACATCATCCAGTACATTCCTGTATATGGTCTGGGGGAAAAGACAAATGACAGCTGAAATGGTTTAATGCCCATTTTTTTGGGATTAAGACTCATACAAGGGCTATCCTACCTAAGGCAATGAGGAAGAACCCAGGACAATGCAAGGGCAAGGGTTTAACCAGGCACCAGTGAGATGTGGGGGTGGGATTCTCTCTCCCAGCCCCTCACTTAACTGCTTTTAGGAGTTAAGCATGGCTCCCTACCTGCTTTTAGGAGCTACAGGTAGGAATTATGAAAACTGAGAGTGCTCTAGCCTAGCCACTCCAGATGTACATGCCTATTCTATATTTTAAAAAATAATATCCACATAATTATTTGGGAGGAAAAACATCAATTGAATTAACCAATTGTTTTGAAAATAACATGAGTTTAGTCAAAGAGTTGGTTAGACCAGTTTTTAACTGGTGTCTAAATGACATCTGAATGTTGAATTCAAATTGGTTTCCTTCATGAAAGGTAGAATCAATGTAGGCGCTTGCTTAATCTGAACTAGAATTCTTCCTTGCTAGAATTCCATTCTACCCCTTTTCTGTTTTAACCTGCACACCCAATATGGCTTTGGTGACCAAAGGAATCCAACTGTCTACTAATCATCTCCAAAGAATCATCTGTGTTGAAAAGATACTGAAGCCTATTAATGATCAGAAAAATAAATCACTTTCTCTAATTCCAAATGTAAATCTAGGTTAGTATCTATTTTACAAATTATTATTATTTAAAATTCTCAAATTATACCATGGCCTACAAATGTTTTACCCAAATAGTGTATATATGGGACTAGTTAGTTTAAACTTACAGTAAATCACTAGCCAGGCACGGTGGCATGCACCTATAGTTCCAGCTACTCAGGAGGCTGAGGCAGGAGGATCGCTTCAGCCCGGGAGTTCAGGGCAAAAGCGAGATATGATTGTGTCACCACACTCCAGCTTAGGTGACAAAGTGAGACCTTGTCTCAACAAAACAAAACAAAACAAAATCCTCTTATAATAAATCTCAATATATAAAGTGGTATCAAATTTTGAAGTGTATCTTGCTTTACCTTCCTTATTTCATTTGCAATGAAAATTCCCATGACTTCTATGTAGGGAATATCAAGCCTCAGAAGTGAAAATAAATTTATATATTCTCTGAATCACAACTTGACTATCACAAAAAAGTTGAATGACCATTACGTATAAATGAGATTTTTGAAATGCGTAACTAAAAATAAAATCAGTCTTTTGGCATCAAAGACTATCTGGAAGTGTTAGATTACCTTTAAAAACATTTTTGAATGTTCATCTTCATGTAACCAGTCTTTGTATAGAGCAATCCACTGGGAAACAAGATGCAAGACTTTACGTTTCCGACGAGGAACATCTGAGTTTTCCTCTTTGCCTTGATACTTCTTAGCAGAATAGGTGCAAATGGTTAAGGAAGAACATTACATTGTTGAAAATGAAAAATATAAAGAGATCCATTTATTTTTGTTTTTGTACAATGTGCTAAAGCATACAAGTATGTAAACATGCAGGAAGAAGAGAGTATGTGTGGAGAGACCAAAAGGTGTGCACTGAAAAGGGCAAACATAAACCAAGGGAAATGACTGAAATCTGCTCAATGGCCAGCCAGGAAGTGAAGGGCTGGCCCCTGGCACTGGCAGCTGCTGACACTGTTCCGCTGTTCCCCAGGGTTAATGCCAGTTCAAAGAGATACTCAGTGGCCCACTAATTTCAAGAGGGGCTCCAAGAGGAGAGCTGGCCTCACTACAGAGGTGAAAAACTCTAGGCCAGATAGTTTCTGATCCTCAGAAATTCACATTCCATAAAACCAGGTACTTCTAAAGTAGTTCCAAAGGAGTACAGATTTCTGGGCACAA